TTAAAAATTGTCAAAGTTGAAATTTATAATAAAAACATAGTAAGTGGACTCAAACTTTTGGAAGCAACTGTATATAGTTAACAGGAAACCTTTTTTTAGTACTTTCTTTTTTATATCATTAATAATATATCAAAATATGTAAGTATAATCAATAAAAGTTTGTTTATATTCTAGAAACTAATATATTTTATGTTAGCCAATCACCTTTGATAAAAATTTGTGCTATTTAAAATTCAGAATTAAATTGAAATAGATAAAATTCTCTAGAAAACTATGAAAGTGAAAGCTTTAAAAGAATTAAGACAATTTAAAAGAAAAAAAATAAATCTTTTAATTATAATAAACTTCCAAAACCTTTTGCTTTAAAGATTAAAAAAGTCTTCAGGCACTTCACAGATAATTTTTTTTCTTTTGGAAACTTTTTTATTGCTAGTATCAAGGGTATTACTTAACTTTTCTTAATCATTAAAAGTCAAGTTTTTTAGTGAAAAAGTTTGTAGACAATAGAAAAAAGATAGAGATAACTCTTGAAGTCATACTTCAAGTTGTTTTATGAAAATGTTAAGACTTTATTAACAAGGAAGTGTAAAACTTCTTGTAAACATCTTTTTTGTATACTATATATTAAATAAAATCTTATAAATTAATATTTTTTTTCTAATTCACAATTAGATTGGTATAACTTATTTTTATTATATAAATTTGAATAACATTTACATATATTTTTAAGACTTTTATATATCAACTTATCTATTATTAAAGTTAAATCTTTTCTAGATACAATATAGAAGATATTTGAAATATAATTATATCTTAATAATTACAACAATCAAATAAATATCAAAATAAAAAATATTTATTAGTTAAATACTATACAATAAAATATGTTTATTCTATATAAAAACTATTAATAAAATAATTAATTATATAATTTCCAAGTATACCATTATTTATTGAAAAGTATAGTAACTATTATCTGTTTTAAACTTTATATATATATAAAAAAAAATAAAGATAAAGAATTAATTATAACACTTAAAAGGAAGAGACCCGTCTTTTTTTATTTACACCTGTCCACATACAAAACGACTATTGAAAAAAAAAGTCAACCAATAAATCTTAACTGTTATACATTCCATACCTAATAGAAAAAAAGTTCTAAGGCATACTCAATAAAAATCAAGAGGTAAAAAAAAAAAACCAAAAAAAAAAAGATTCATTCTATTACACATATATGATAATGAGGGCAGATACTTATGAAGAAACATTCTTTTTTTATAAGGTGTTAAACAGATAATAGCACCTCGTCAATTAATTAAATCGTCGAAATTCAAGAATCACACCACAATTCGTAAAATTAGTTCAAATAATAGACAGTCGGAAATATATATATATATCATTTCAAGCACTAGTGCTAGAAAAATAATATGAATATGTAGGAGTAAAAAGAGAAGTGTGGATGTGATATTAAAGCCAAACTTACATAAGATGGATGTATCATAAATAAAAAAAAAGAATGAGTCTATAAATCACAGGCCATCCAGAGATTAACAAGAGCAGTTTCCTCCAGAGTTATTTCCCATATTTCTATGTGAACCCGGTGGTTGAATTACGTTTAGATGGTCTCCCCTATTGTTACTAACTTGACGTGGACGACTAATGATGTGTTCAAGTGGAATCTTTTTGGCTACGAAAAGAAAAATCAAAACCTAAGTTAGCATGGTTCACGTGTGAATTTAGTTGATTATTTGAGAACATGAAGATAGGACTTACCAATTTCCGTGAATACCTCCCGTACACCTTCGCCTTTTTTTGCACTAGTCTCAAAAAATAGCAAGCCAATTTCATTAGCATAGGCTTTTGCTTCTCCGGTTGGAACTTCTCGTCTGGATTTCATGGAATCATCTTCATCGCCTTCTTCATTTTGCTGAACAAGATCTATTTTATTTCCAGCGAGAGCAATAACAATGTTGGGATTCGCCTGACGCTGCAACTCTTTCACCCAAGATTTTGCTTTATCAAGCGAAGTCTAATAGGAAGGTATGTGTTGTTAAAAAAAATACATGTGATGACATTTCCGGATAATGGTGATTAAACTTACAGCTTTTGTTACGTCATAAACAACCACAGCCGCCTGAGCATTACGATAATACATTGGGGCCAGAGAATGAAATCTTTCTTGACCAGCAGTGTCCCAAATTTCGAATTTAATTACTTTATCTTCCAGGCGACATTTCTGTGTTAAGAATGCAGCTAGAACAGAAAAAAAGTAATATCACGTGAATTTTTTAAAAAAGAGAATTTTTTTTCAATGTTATCGTTTCGCACGTACCTCCAATAGTGGGCTCTTTATTTTCTTGAAATTCATTATTGACAAACCTGAGCACTAAGCTAGATTTTCCAACTGCAGCTTCACCTAATAATATTAAGCAAAGAAAGGAATGAAAAACAGGTTAAGTTTGACTTCAAAATATTATTCTCGCAGCATGAGTACAAAGAACTTCAATTCAATGATGAAAGTTGAAAGAGAGGGAACTAGTCAAAAAAAAAAAAAAAAACCTCGACAGACACTTCTCTAGGTGATAGACTTACCAAGGAGCACTAATTTCACCTGAACGGGCTTTAAGTTTGCCGACGGTGTTGTACCGTTATCTCCACCGGCACGGGCAGGTGATTCGGAAGTAAGTTGGCGTGAGCTATTTGACATTGTTTTATTGTTTTATGTAGACTTATTCTATTGATGATATTTGTACTGTTTTTGTCCTGGTCTTAGCTTTATGAACAAAAGGGTCGTCGAACTGAAGAAAAAAGGCGAATATTACATACAAAATGATTACGGTCTGCACAATAACGAAAATCACTAAGGTATCACATCACAACGCCCAAGAGGTGATTTTTTTTTTAGTATTTTTAGTACGAAACTTATGATAATAGGCTGAATCGGTATTGTTTAACGTTAACGTTATCGTATGGAAGGGGGAATTAATTTACATGGCCAGAATTATCTTTGCTAAACTTATGCGCGGGGCTGATCCGCTCCACGATAGTACTACATGGAGAGGTGGCAAACCACCACCTGCAGTTGATACTTTTGTGAGTGAGGAGTCACGGAATGATTGGCCGCACCAACGCTAAATAAAATTCGCACACGAAATCTAGCTTTTTTTTTTTTTAAAAAATAAAAATAAAAATAAAAATTAATAATCTAACAAATATATGACATCGACTGTTCGTCTTGACGTTTGGTCAAGCGACGAATCTGAAACTAGTCGCGATAAAGGCAATCACTTATTATTACCGAATTACAATTACAACAATAATAATAATTTTCCTGAAATGCTGACGAGAAGAAACAAGGGTTCCAACAATCCCAATCTGATAAAGTTGAAAGATGAGTACGAGCAGGTACCGCTCGGTGACTTGGATGAAAATGGTAAAACCTATAAGCCACTACGGTCTCACGGGAACAAGGTAAATCAAATCGTTATGAATTATCTATTTCCTAATTCCGAGAGCTGATCTCTTTTTTTTTTTTTTTTTTTTTTTTTTTAATATCTAAAAAAGTACCTCGCATTCTGGTATCAATATCAAGATTATCTTCTTCCGTTAATCATCACCATAATTTCATTCTGGACAAGATTTTATTTAATCTCAATATCTGACATTGTTGTGTGGGATGAGGTGGATTTTCAATTTTCCTTTATCATCATTATACGCGATATTTGTATTCTAATTATTAAATAATTATCCTCCTACCAAATAGGCACATTTCGGAAAAGTAACTGCTTCATTACGCTATTTCAATCTATCTTCTTTTGACTTTCATTAATAACATGAAATTTAAAATCATTTCAGTTTGGCTCGCATTATCTTAAGCGCGAATTCTACTTTGACGTACATCCGCCATTGGGAAAAATGATTGTCAGTCTTGCGGGTTTTTTGGCTGGATATAACGGATCATTCGACTTTGAGTCTGGTTCCAAATATCCTGAAGATGTGAACTATACGTTCATGAGGATATTTTTGGCCTCATTTGGTGCTTGGATGGCCCCTTTGTCGTATTTTACTGCAATCGAGTTGGATTTCTCTCGAAATTCTACGTTACTCGTGTCTTTGATGGTTCTATTTGGTGCGTTGCTTAATTTAACTTTTCTTTTATTACACGCTATATAATCTTACAAGTTTTAAAATTTTTATTAATAGACATGGCATACCTTGCCATCAGTCGGTTTATCCTTCTCGATTCAATGCTGTTGTTTTTTACCTACACGACCGTATTCTTCCTGACCAAGTTCCATAATCAGCGTAACTCGTGAATATCCCATTTTACCGTCTGTAAATCCATGCCTATGAAAATTTCTAACAAATCCTATCCTAACTTGATGTGATACATAGCCCCTTTTCTTTGGAATGGTGGTCGTGGCTTGTGTTGACTGGATTTTCTATTGGATGTGTAACTAGGTAGGATCAATGACTAAAGTTGTATGACCAATCCATGTAAAATGATTGACGCATGTATCTATTTTACTTAAGTGTCAAATGGGTTGGTCTCTTCGCCACCGCTCTGGTTGGTCTTTATACCATTGATGATCTTTGGGAAAAATTTGGTGATTTAAAAATGCCCAAGGTAAGACTTTTTAATATTTATCGAAAATTTTCCATTCACACGCGTACTAATTAATACGGTGTAATTGTATGATAAAGACTGATTATATGAAACATTGGATTGCAAGAATTCTTTGCCTGATAATATTGCCAACTCTTATATACATGCTCAGTTTTGCAATTCACTTTGCAATACTACATAACAGTGGGCCGGGCGATTCTCAGATGAGTTCACTTTTTCAGGCCCATCTTAATGGCAATATTTTCCACAAAAACCCTCTGGGTATGTCTCGTGTTTACTAGCATTGCACATTCTTGGTTCACGAGCATCTTCTAGCCTAACCTCTTCTTTTCATAGAGTTGGCATACGACTCGAGGTTCACCCTTAAGAACAAGGGCTTTGGAGGTGGCCTTTTACACTCCCATATACAAACTTATCCTAAAGGATCGGAACAACAACAAGTTACATGCTATCATCACGGAGATGAGAACAATGATTGGATCATTAAAAAAGTTCGTGAGGCGCCGCCATCTGATAATGAAACTGAGGTTGAATTTATAAAAAATAAAGAGGAGGTTCGTTTATTACATGCTAAATCTGGAAGGAACCTCCATTCTCATCGAGTAAATGCACCTGTTACAAAGTCCCAATGGGAGGTTAGCTGCTATGGAAATGATACTATAGGTGACAAAAATGATTACTGGATTATTGAAGTGTATGATGATACTTACCCCGATACCGATAGAATTCGCTCATTGACCACTACTTTACGACTCCGACATTCTGTTCTCGGTTGTTACCTTCGAGCTGCAAACACTATTTTGCCGCAATGGGGTTTCAAACAAATTGAAGTTACGTGTGACAAAAGAAATAATCCCAGGGATAAATATACTCATTGGAATGTTGAACGTCACTGGAATGATAAATGTAAAGTGTAGATTTATTTTTCCCTTTTTTTTTTTTTCAATCGTGAAACGCACACTTAATTCATAATAATTTTAGTGCCCCCCGGTGGAAAACCTCAGTATAGGTCAAGGTTTTTGGACGACTTTTGGCATTTAAACGTAGCCATGTATACTTCGAATAATGCTCTCGTTCCTGACCCTGATAAAGAAGATATTCTTTCGTCTTCTCCCCGTCAATGGCCAATCTTAGAAGTCGGCCTTCGAATGTGTTCATGGGCTGATGAAAATATTAAGTTTTATTTACTTGGTAATCCTGTCGTTTGGTGGTCTGGAACTGCTTCTCTGGTTTTCTACACTCTTCTTCTTGGTTGGTACATTATCAGACGACAACGTCAATATCAAGATTTTTCACCAGGTAATGATCAACAAACATTTATATTTTGTCATCGATATAGCATTAATGCTGAATTGTTATTTTAAAATAGTTCAATGGGATCATTTCTTGTATATTGGAAAAATTTGTGGAATCGGATGGCTGTTACATTTCATACCATTTTGTATAATGGGTCGTGTCACGTATCTGCATCATTACTTCCCAGCACTCTACTTCTCCATCCTGATGGCAGGATTCATGATGGACCATCTTACTTCAAACCTCAAACAAAAAACAAGAACGATAATATTTGGAATAAGTTATGTGTTGGTCATCGGTGTATTCCTATTTTTCAAAGACATAGCATTTGGAATAGACTATCCCGCAAAGGATTATAAAGGTAGAAAATGGCTTTCTACTTGGAACATTGTGGACTAGAATGCATCCTTGGCATGCGAGTCAAATCAATATATTAGAAACTTTTTAAAAAATATTTATAAATAGATTATTTCTATCTATAATTGGGGTTCATTTCTCACATTAATAATTATAAAAGAATTATCTTTCACATGTAATACGACTAGGTTCGCTTTAATTTGTAATATGATGGGGGTTATTTATTCGGACTTTTTTTACCTATAATGCGACGAGATTTTTTTTTTTTTCTTTAATAATATAATATGCCATGTTAAATGTTGTGTTTTATTGATGGAAATAATTAATGCTATTGGTTTATTTCGGAACAATTGCGCATGCGATGCGTAATATGTCACCGTGTGATGTTTTACAATTCTGAAACCGTAGATCCTAAGTTTTTTTTATCAAACCTAATTTATAAATAATAAGTTCTATAAATAATTACTGTATTTATAATTATTTTAAATAGCAAACTTGGTGTCAAGATAATAGAACTATAACATTATGAATTATTTGAAATTATTCTTATCTACCTATTACTCGGGCTAAAAAATTAAAGATTTGTTTTTCAAAAATCTATTTTGACTAGTTTTTCTTTATAATTGCTTGAATAAATTTATAAAATTCTAGTTCTTTTATAGTTATATAAGGCTATTAGTTTATAACAATTCATTGTATAAGCTTTTTTTTTTATCTTTTTAGATTCATAAATCCATTATATAAAAAATAAATTTAATAATGCTTCAAGTTTAAAGAATATATTTATATTATCTTTGAGATATTAAAAAAAATTTTAAGTAAAGATCTACTAAATTATGTATTTATTTTCATTAGATAGTTTTTTTCAAGATATTTAAAAAGGTTTGAAATACTACTGCTACTACAAATATATTTAATGCTATAATAGTTACAAGAAACTTTTTTACTTTTATTAAAGTTAGTATATCCTTTATAAAATGATTCCATACTTTACTATAATAAATTACTTTTTTAGGTGACAATACTTTTAATAAATTATTTATAACAATATTACCAGTATCACTGTATTTATAACTATTGTATTTATATAAATATTTTTATCATTTATATTATTGAAATTATTTAAAAACTTTTATATTTTATTTTAGTTTTTAGAATAAGCAATATTATATAAGTATAATATAAATAAAAAAAAATTTTTTTATTAATTCACAATTATATTATAATGGCTTGTCTTTTTTTTTTAATTTATGACCATACTATATGGCCTAATCTTTATTGAAAAGTTTAAATAACTATTCATAATATTATAAAATTTTTTATAAGAATTAACTTGTTATTATACTAAAGTACTTTAAGTTGGATCTAAAAAATAATATTTTATTTCTTTAAAGAATTGATATAAACATCTATCCTCTAGATTTATCATTAATAATTTATTACTGTAAATTGTTTAAAAACTATTAATTACTAAGTTAATAAAAAAATAAGTAACAAATGAAAATGAAAAAAAGTATACAATTCAAGTTTTTCTAAAAAAGTCTATCAACCAAACAATATTTTTTCAAAAGAGATTTATCTAATTGAGATATTTTTCTTGTTTTTACTTGAATCTTGAAAAAGATCTTCTTTATTATTATTTATAGTATCAGATAAGTTAATTCAATTAAGCCTATTATTTAATCAAGTATTAAATTGAAATAACTTAAGAAAAATTTAAGATCTCAATTAAATTTAAGCAAATATTAGATTATAATATCTTAAAAAATATACTTATATTTTAGATTTTATTTATTAAAGCTTTGTTATCACTTGAAGAACTTGGGTAAAAAATAAAAGTTTGCAATCTACATTATTTATTTCTTGGTCTTTTGGTATTATAGATATTTTTAATAAGAAAGTTGAGCTTTTGGAAGTGAATATTTTTATAATATTCTTTTTAATTATTAATAATATCATTAGAACAAGTAAGTTAATTAATAGAAACTTGTTTATATTTTAAAATCTAATATATTTTGTATTAATCAATTATTTTTAATAAGAATTTGTATTATTTAAAATTTAAAATCAAATTAAGATAGGAAAAATTTTCTAGAAAACTATAAAAACAAAAACTTTAAAAGAATTAAAACAATTAAAAAGAAAGAAATAAGTTTTTTATTATATAATATCTTATAAATTTTTTGTTTCAAAGGTTAAAAAGATCTTTATATATTATATAATTGGTTTTTCTTCTTTTGAAAATTTTTTTGCCATTGATATTAAAGGTGTTACTTGACTTTTTTGATTATTGAAAGTCAAGTTTTTGAATAAAGAAGTTTGTAAACAATAAAAAAGAAATAAAAATAATTCTTTAAGTTATATTTCAAATTATTTTAAAAAAAGTATTAAGATTTTATTAGTAAAAAAACTAAAAAAACTTCTTGTAAATATTTTTTTTATATGTGATTAGAAAATCAATAGAAAAAGCTTTCAAATTATTTTTTTTTAATATAAATAAAATATTTTATAAAATAAATATTAAATATCTATTCAAAGATTATAAAAGTTATTAAAGATCTAATTTATCTTATATTTAAAAATATATTAAAATAAGTATAATAGAAATACAAGTAAAAAAAAACTCTTTCCACTGATCCTCTAACCATATATAAAAAGATGCTTGCAAGAAGTTTTATACTTTCTTGTTAATAAAGTCTTTATATTTTCATTAAAACAACTTGAAGCTTATCTTCATGTATTTATCCTATTCTCACTTACTTGTTTATAAACTTCTTTAAATAAAAACTTGAGTTTCTAGTGACCTAAAAATACTCAAGTATATACTTTCTCTACTAAGGACAAGAAAGTTTTAGGAAGTAAAAGGACTGGCAGGTGAAGTGTTATCTTACAGAATCAAAGTGACAAAAATAAAAGTTTTGTTAGTAGGGAAAAGCTTGTTATTTACATTTTCATGCTTTTCTATTCCTTCTTAAAGTGTTTACTGTTTTTTATGGTTTTCTTAAAGGATTTTGCTTACCTCAATTTGATTCTAAATTTCTGATAGCACAATATCAGACTTTTGATTGGTTGACATTAAACACATTAGTAATTGAATGTAAACAAGCCCCTATTGGTTATCTCATGTATTCTGATATTGTTGTTGATGATTGAAAGAGTTAATTAATGTCTCGTGTCTGCCTCACTTCTTCAATTGGGTTAATCTACAGATAAAGATAAGTTCTTAAAGAAGGAGACAAGGATCAAAGTCAAATATTTCTTACTAAGAAACATTAAAATTTTTAAATTAATAACTATAAAAAAACTATTCATAATTGTTTTCCATTATTCAAATCATTGATTTATAATATTTTTTGACATTTGTTCTTATTAAAATAAAGAGCTATGAATTTTGTCTTTTAAAAAGAGACATATACTAGTTGAAATTGTATTATTCAGTAATTGAATTATTGTCAAATTTGATTAAATTTAATAATAAAAATATTGTTGAATTCTTTTTGATTGCTGCCACTCAGTGTATTACTATTTTAGCAATAAAGTGGCAATCAAAAATTTGACAATCAAAAATTCAGCAATCAAAAATTTGACAATCAAAAAAATTAGCATATTAACAATTTATCAAATAATTCATTAACAATTTGATAATAATTTATTAACAATTTGATAATAGTTTATTAAAAATTTGTTATAAAATTATTTATTAACAATTAAATAAAAATTTAGCATTAATTTATTAATAATTCATAAAAAATTTATCAAAAAATTCATCAACTATTCATTAAAAAATTTAACAACTATTCATTAAAACTATTCATTAAAAATTCATTAAATATTCATTAAATATTAAGCAACTATTTATTAAATTATTTATAAAAGTTTATTGACTATTCATTAAAAATTTAGTAACTATTTATCCAAAAATTTATAAAACTTATAAAAAAAATCATTCATATTTATATACTGTATTATTTGATATTATTTATATAATAATATATAATTAATTAAATTATAATAATATAAATAACATATTATGCATTATATTTTAGTTTGTATTATTCATAATTTATAAATATAATCTCAATTCAAAAAAATTCATACATAAGTTTATCAATTTTTTTACTTTATTACTGACGAATAGTTTTCAAATTTTTCATAATTAGTTAATAAACCTTTAATGAATAATTTAATGAATAGTTGCTGGTTTTTTAATGAATAGTTAATAAGTTTTTAATAAATAGTTTTGATGAATAGTTGCTGAATTTTTAATAAATAGTTGACAAATTCTTGACAAACTATTAATAAATTAATACTGAATTTTTATTGAATTGATAATAAATAATTTTAAATGAACTTTTAATAAATTATTACCAAATTGTTAATGAATTATTTGATGAATTGTTAATAAATTTTTTGTCAAATTATTAATATGTCAATTTTTGTAGTTATTGATTGACAATATTTATATCTTTTTTTGTCAAATTGTTTATTTTTTGTCAAATGTTATATGAGTGGCAGTATGTCAAATAATTTTTTTGCTAAATTGTTTATTTTTTACCAAATGTTATATAAGTGACAGTATACTAAATAATTTTTTTTTGACTAGTAATAAGTGATCTATAAAATTTTATATATTAAATACTTTAGGGATCTATCATTATCTACAGATTAAGTTCCATGAGATCAATAAGATATAAGCAACAAGTTTTCAGGTGGTGAAAAAGCTGCTATTTGTTCAAGCTGAGATCTTTTTCTTCTATTATTTTGGTTAGGCAAAGTTCAAAACCAAGATCTCCTTTTTATCCCAGTTAGGCAATAAGACTAAATAGTCTTTAGTTCATTATTGAGTTTCAACTCTTTAATTACAGTTAAAAATGCATTTTTCCAAAAGTTGTTAAAGGATATCACAATCAACGAGGATTCCTACTACTCTTTTAATATCTTTCCATCATTGTGAGGCAAAAAGATTTTTAGGGAATAACTTTTTGAACAATAAAAAATGTATATCGGTAAAATTTCTTTAATTTGATATAACTGCTAAAAGG